CTCCGCGGTTTTGTGGTGGAACCAGGGGGGAATAAGCATGTCAGTCAAACGTTTTCAGGCTATGAATCCTGTTGGTTAAGAAAAGAAATTCTCAGAAACAACTGAACAAGAGGCCAGTCCTCTAGAGATTTTTTTAAAATAGCTCTTTAGAAGGAAAAAAAACCTTTTTTTTTCCTATGGACCTCACCACTTGTCATGGAATGCTTTAAGTTTGAAAAACCCTGCTTTTAGATATTTAGTCCTGGGTGGCTCCACTTTCAGAGAAAATCAAGGTTATTTTGGGCTGGTTCAGTGGGAAGAGGAGGAGGAATCTTAACATGCTGGCCTAGATTAGGGGTAGTCAACCTTTTTATACCTACCGCCCACTTTTGTATCTCTGTTAGAGTAAAATTTTCTAACGGCCCATCGGTTCCACAGTAATGGTGATTTATAAAGTAGGGAAGTAACTTTACTTTATAAAATTTATAAAGTTATAGCAAACCCCTACCGCCCACCATGAAAGCAGGAACGCCCACTACTGGGCAGTAGGGACCAGGTTGACTACCACTGGCCTAGATAATGGTACCAAGCCACCTCTCTCTCTATACTAACTAAATCCCATAGTTAAGCACAAACAAATTTCAGCGAACCCTGCCTCTCTTCTGCCCTGTTTGAGCACAGCAGCTGCTAGATGGTTTTATTGGGGTATCTGCTTCTATTCTCCCAAAGCCCGGATCACGATTGTGAAAGCCAATGCTGTGTTTTCTTCCGCAGGCTTCACTGACCAAGCTGATGGAGACTCTTGGCCAGGCAGAGCCCTATTTTGTCAAATGCATTCGCTCCAATGCTGAGAAGGTAAACCTTTCCCCAATGCCCAGTGATTTTTTTTGGGCTGCTGAAATACATTCAACTTGCAATACGTCCCATAGCTAAAGATGACAGAAAGCGGAATAAGACGCACTCCTTAAAAGCAGTCATAACGCAAAGGCAGGTTGAAATAGCAAATATCAGAATGAAATATTAAACACTAGGGCTTTAAGCCAGCACAGATGGTAATGTAGGGGAAAAAAAGTAACTTTTAAATCCTAAATTTTGACATGCCTTTAGTGAATCCATTTGCAGACTGAATAATCCCGGTGGGTGTAAAACATTCCCTTATTATCTGCTGGATGAAAACACATTATGGAAGGCAACATTAATGTGGAATGTTCCATGATTTTTTTTCCCCTTCCAGTTTGGCTCTTGGCTAGAACTGCGAGTGCAGAGTTCATAGATGTGATGTCATCTGGTTGTGACAAATCTGTAACATTCTGGAACAAGAATGTTAGGCTCCAAACTTACAGTAATTTTATTTTACAAAAAAGGATGTAGTCTTGCGCCCAATGACTATTAGGCATATTATGATACAATATTCCTGATTTCATAAGCAATGCTATTAACTTCCTGTGGCCTTTTTGTTGCTAAATATGGCACAGGATTAACATCTGCATAGATGTTCACGTCAAGATGGACATTAAGCCACGCTCGTAGATGGTTGCCTATTCTGTTTTGAGACTGATTCAGCTCCTTGTCCATCTTGTCCTAACCCTAACCCAACCCTAACCCTAACTTGTCCACCTAACCCTAACCCTAACCCTAACCCTAATCGGACAAAAAACGTACAACACTGTTAGAAAGTGGGACGATTTGCTACTTTGCGAAAATGTCTTGGTTCCATTTAAAAACACGCAAACCTAGAAACGAGTTCTCATGCATAGCTGGTTCTGTAGGCGAGTTGGCTCAAATTGTATATTTTGCTTTTCCAGCTCCCCTTGAGGTTCAATGATAACTTGGTGCTTAGACAGCTGCGGTACACAGGAATGCTTGAGACAGTGCGCATTCGACAGTCCGGATATAGCTGTAAATATTCTTTCCAGGTGAGATTATTCTTTCTTGATTCTCCGAAAGTTTATGGTGCTAGTATAAAGAATCTGAAAGCAGTTTTTAATTAGTTTTGTTTATTTTATTTTTAAAAGACCTAAAGAAATATATGCTGGAGCTATTTGTAAATCCAAACCTACTTCCAAATGTACAGTGCTGTGTGTGGCAGTATTTCTTGTGAGCTGCCTCCGCCTATTTGTATTTCTTCAAGATTCAAGTGATATAAACGTTTGTGTATTGAAAAGTTTAAATGCAGTTTGCTAACTTGATTTCCTTTTATGTTTGACATATGAAGAGTTTATAAATGTAACAATGTGGTGATGTTGTGTCTAAATTGCCAGGATTTTGTAGACCACTTCCATGTACTTCTCCCACGAGGCACTGTCCCATCTAAGCAGAATATCGAAGGCTTCTTCAAAAAGACAAAGACCAACTCAGATAGTTTCCAAGTTGGGCGAACCACGGTAAGGTCCAGCTACTGTTTCTAGACACTTTTCAAAGGGGGATGTTTGGGATGTTCTTTCCTTGTGCGTCCTTGAAAAAAATCCTGTGGACTGAAGTAACTCGGATTTCAGCTTGGATTTCAAAGATCCCATCTTTTTATCATTGTATCTGAGGGATGATTAGAACCGAATTAATCTCTCTGTAAAAAGAGACTGGAAGAATCAGGGTGGGTCTTCTGACACATGCACAGTTGCAGATATTTTACTGGGGGGTGGGGGTGGAGGAAGCATATGTCAGGGCTCCAAGTAACACACCCAACGGGAATCAAAACTCCAAGGCAGGAATGTTCCTCAAAATATAGATTTATTAAGCCTGTCATGTTGGCACATTTGGGGAAACCAGACTCTAACCCCCCCCCTTGGGTTTCCCCCTAGTTAAAAGCAAAGTTTTCCTCCCCCTGCCCATGCAGTCCATCCCATGGTCCAATCAGGTCACAGTCCAAGGGTCACTTGGCCTCAGATCCCACCTCCTCACCCCTGGTGGGAAAGTCCTTGGTTCTCAGAGGAAAGAATTTTATTTTGGCTACAGTCCTCTCCCCCTCCCCAGCTATCTCTATCTCCCCCCCCTCCCGTTCCCACAGCTCGACTCATCTCCGCTGGGGCAGCCCTGAAGGTGCCAGGGGGAAATGGTTCCAGGGCTGACCGCACATAAGTGTGTCAGGTTGCTAATTTGCAAAGGGAACGACATTAATTGTGATTGTTCAATTGTCCACCAGGTGTTCATGAAGGAACAGGGACGACAGCTTTTACAAAGACTGCTGCATGAGGAGGTCTTGCAAAGGATTATCTTATTGCAGAGCTGGTTCCAGACGATGCTGTACAGGAGGCAGTTCCTGAGCATGAGGCAGGCTGCTGTCATCATACAGGTGGGGGCCAACTATATGCGGCTCTTAAACTTAAACCCTGGGGATGTTTACCTTACTCTCAACATAGATAACTCACCTTTAAACAACACAGTTAAGCTAATTACTGAATTTATCTTTTTTTCTGGATTCACACAACGCATCAAACCTTAAACCAGCCTTCTTTAGAAATGGAGGGCTTTATTCAGTGTATTCATACCACGTGCAAGGAAATTACTAACTCTTCTTTAATGGAATATCTTTCTTCATCCTCACTGCCAGAATAACATTCTTGTATGGATTGGTATGTCCTTCTGTCTGCGTTAAAACACATGCTTTAAAATGTCAGTAAGCATAACATTTTTGTAATTAATTGGATGGTCGTAATATTAGAAATTAGGGGACACGGTGGCTCAGTGGCTAAGACGCTGAGCTTGTTGATCAAAAGGTCAGCAGTTCGGCGGTTCGAATCCCTAGGGCTGCGTAACAGAGTGAACTCTCATGACTTGTCCCCGCTTCTGCCAACCTAGCAGTTTGAAAGCACGTAAAAATGCAAGTAGAAAAATAGGAACCACCTTTGGTGGGAAGGGAACAGCATTCTGTGCGCCTTCAGCATTTAGTCATGCCAGCCACATGACTACAAAGACATCTTCGGACAGCGCTGGCTTTTCGGCTTTGAAATGGAGATGAGCACCGCCCACTAGAGTCGGGAACGACTCGCACATATGTCCGAGGGGAACCTTTATCTTTACATCTTTATTTAGACCAAAGACTGTGTGACTCTTGCTAACAGTAGCCAAATACCAC